GAGGAGAGGTACAGGTAATGTTTTGCTGAATCCGATCACCATTTTCGTTGTCGTAGCTGTCAAGGCTCGTAGCTCGGAGGTTAGTCGTGAGGAAATAATCAGAAGCATGAGGGTTCCTGCGGGGTCTCCCAGTGTAGACAGCAGGGAGTTCCTGGGGGACAGCTGGATCAGTTCACCTCCGACCTCTCCGTTTGGAGATGCCTCGTCTCCAGAGTTCTGTAGTCCTTTGCCTTACGAGCCAGGTAGGAGTCTGACTTTGCCAGCAGAAAGTCCCTTTTTTTCACTCCAGAAAAAGCACAAACATTTTGTTATCAGTTCTAAAAGTATTTGAAAATCTGATCACAACTCCTGGTTGGTTCATATTAATTTGGATAACTTACATAAACTGAGTCACCCGAAAATGTCCAAAATGCACATTTTGGACTGTGCTTGTCAAAATGTCATTTTTGCGCTTACTAATTTGATGGCTGGTTGACCTTTGTTATGTGGTCTTGGAAACAAAGTATTAATATAAAGAGCACATTTGTGTGTGGAATAAAGGGACTGTAGCAGGCGTTGTCTCTGTTATTCACTTGAGTACACTGCATCCAGCCATAACCTAGCTCCTCAGAACCTGACTCTGTGCTCTCATATACAAACTCTTCTACTTGATCAAATACAGACTACGAGATAACTTTTGGACAGTTTGCATCAGTAGAATGCTTCTCTGATCTGTACATGTTCAGGAGAGAGCTTTTTAAAGGAAGGTCTTGAATCACTATATGTGTATACAATTTATGCCCTTCCATTTCTAATATACTAGCTGAAAGTAAAATGTCTCAGTCACTGATAAGGAATATTCACCTAGAATACAAGTGGTGAAGAAACTAGACAAATTTGCTTCACTGGTAGTGTGAGATGCACATCCTCTAGAATTTAACCCATTTACCAGTCTTCAGAGGTGCATTTACTACATGTTTATATTTGCAAAAAATTTCATCTTGACTGCAGTTGATTGGCGCCAACATAATAACAAGAAAAAAGTGTGAAATTATGACCTGTAACATACTTGAAGTGACTTGAAGTCTGACATGCAGCTGTATAGAACTGTGGCTAACCCAGAGCCGATGTAGTTGAGACCTGGATGCAGTGTTCTCATGTCCCAGTGTTGTTGCAGCCCCCTTAAGTCAGGGGTTCATAGCCAGCCTGCAGCGCTTTCCCTCCGGTAGGAGTCCCACACAGACAGATGATGTTTTCTGGCCTCCCCAGGAGGCTGAATACGAAGAAGGTAGGTTCAGACACAAGGACATTGTGGCTTCTCTCAGTTTCTGTTTCCTTCAGCCACACTAATGTGATTTGTTGGTTCTCGAATTTTTACAGGAAGTCAATGAAGCAGGCAAGGGGGAAAAACAGGCCGCAGGCATCCTGTGATGGTCCCAAACACTACAGAAACCATAAAAGCAACAAAGTCAACATACTAAGCTGGTTTATAATTCTAAACAATCTTTTGATCAAAATCAATCATTATTCTGTATTGATAATAGAAAAATTGTAACAACTACAAGGCAAGGGATTTGTTCAAAATTTTGGAGCTGAAATATGAGTATTTTGGAGGTGATTCTGACCCTGAATGGTACATGTACTTGTCTTTATGCAGGTCGGAAAAAAAGAAGGCAAATCCGAGAACCCACAAATCAAATTGTTGTTTCCTTGTATTTTTTCTTCATCTGTGAAGCTTTGGTTGTAAAGTGCTGAGGATAAGTACTACCTTGGCAATGCCTTTGGTGGAGCAATCTCACAGTGCATCTTTACATGCCTACAGTAGTATGTAATTTAGTGCATTACAGAGTCACTCCTTGGTAGAGTTGGCAGCTTTTGGCAAGTTTTCTTAATCATTCCATTTTACTCTTTTTTTCACGTTTTTCTTTGTATTACTTTCCTTCTTTCTTTCACCCTCTCACGCAGCATTTCTCTTCTGTTTTCATGATTTCTCTTTCATTTTCCTTTCCACAGTTTTGTGTTTGTGACTTTCCCTCCCTCCCTGTGTGTCTGTCTATTTTTGTCTCAGCACCTTACAGCCATAGCTCGTTTTTTCAGACATTTTCCTAAGAAATGTTATAAAGCAACAACGTTTCCCCTCGGGCACGGGGCCTGGAGAGGCTGAGTATGAAAATTCCTATTCCATGGGGAGGAAAACTCTCGGCTCTGTCTACTCACCTTCTACAAGTGTTGGTAAGGTTGTCGTAGAGGGTAGAGTAGATATTAGTCTTTCAACCTTCATAATGTGTGCCATAAAAATACCTGTACAACTGAGCACTTTTACACAAGAACTACATGCCCAATGTGACTACTTTGATGGTCCCTCAAATAATTTTCCCTTGACACAAGTAGTAAGAATCCTGTCTGTAGTGACCACCTGTGCACATAACCAGATTTTATTGGTCACATGAGTGGTCTTCTTGCAATGCCCATTTCTGACTGTAATTATAGCAAACTACACTCTCAGGGCTTCTTTCCTGTACCACTTCACTGTTTGGCCTCTTCTGTGTTTTCCTTGTGTTCCAGAATTGTAATCATGGTTACCATAGTTCTAGCTATGGGTGCAGCCTGTTTTATATGTTAAGACTAAGTCACTGTGATTTACTGACAAAATGTAGATGTGATACATACTTTTTTCTTTACCATGCAACATAGATAACCTCCATTAACATTCATCCACCAGATTAGATACATGGCCACTTTGAAAAACAGTTTATTTGAGAGATACATGTATCTAGTGCAGCACCCCCCAGGTCTGCACAATTTATATGTGCTGGAGTGCATTATAGATTTTTACTTGGGGTTGTTGCATTTGATACCTGTTTAGGGTGGCAAAAACATGTGACCTAGCAGAATTATATAGTATATGTTACATGCCTGCAATCCTACATCAACATGATGTACAATGTAGTGAGTTTATAATAGCTGAGTCAAAGTCATAAAAGGCACAACACCCAATTTAGTAACTATGGTTGCCATGGTTTCAGGCAAGTCAGTAGAGCGTGTAGATGTAATAAAAATGCAGCGAACACCAGCTGCCCGACCTAAGACCCCTGATGACCTCTTGCCGATGGAGAAGGATGACTGGCCTGCTCCACACGCTGACTTCTACTACGGTAAGACCCAGGGTAGGACCAGCCAGTCCTACCTTGGAGTGGCAACTACACTAGCTCCAGAGGCTTACAGCTGTGATGCATGGGACTTACAGCCCTTTGTCTCACTCCCAGAATGCCTTGTACTCGCAGTATGAGCTCACGGTTTGTAACTAAGTCAACTGCTGCACACGGACTTGTTGTTTGTTTGTTTGTTTGTTCTGACGGTTGAGTTTTTTTCTCCCACATAACAGGCTCTGCATGCAGCTTACGGAGAGTAACCTGCAAGTCTTGACAGTAACAACTTCATCTGGTCAGGGTGCCATTTAAATCTCACAAACATGCAAATGAGGCACTCCTTGGAATCATTTTTCAGTAACAACTTCACCCTCTAACTCAGCAGCAACGGCTGATCACCTCGTTTGCATACCTGCACCCAACCTTGGCATATAGAGGTCATGTCAAGGACAAGTTTGTTTCAAGTAACAAGGACTGGAAAAGAATGAGTTAACTAGAGTATCAGAACAACATTAAAACAAAAGAAAGGTGTCCTTTTTGTGTCAAACATTAATCACTTATCAACAAGCTTTCTCTGATCCTTCTGAAGTTGAAATGACCCTAAGTTGACCTATGTCATGTGACAAGTGTGACATCAGCTGCAAACATATTCACAGAAAGTGCATATAAAATCTTTGCTTTGTAAATTTTTGTCTCAGATGAACTTTCATTTGAAAATAAAAAGGTGTTCTCTATGATTGGAGTCTCTTTTCTCTGTACCTGAGAAATATGTGTCTCCAGCCATACCCAGGTTGTTTTCACACCAACAGTTTTACATCAGAAGAAAGAACTATTGTTATAAGTGTTCAG